AAACCGAGAATGCATCCTGGAGTGGGCTACGCGAGGCACGGTATTTACATGTTTTGCTACACAGAAAATGGGAAAATGGGGCAGTGAAGCAAAGGTGACATTCTTACAGTTCTCAGTGACATTATATACACGATAAAGCAAATACGTGGTGAAAGTATACAGAATGAAAAGTTAAGGAGTATGTAGGCATCTTAGGGTCTGGAGAGGGATGGTCGGCTCTATCCTGCCTTTGCGCTGCATCCGGTAGGCAAGGGTGCATTCAGTGAGATACTGCACAGGTCCCAGCCTTGCAAGTGAGAGTTCAGTGTACTTCACAGGCCCAGTTTCTATTACCTGTATGTCCATCCTGTAGCTATCTTGGGCTTTAACATTTTTTATTTCAGCTTTTCCTTTTTCTGGCATTTTACAGTATAGTTATTCCACAATTCTGGCTAGATCAATATTCAATTTACATTATTGGGATTATGTGGAGACTTTCTACAATTGAGTTCTGTAGTAAACTTTTACTACTTTTCCTTTCTCAAACATCATTGAATTGTCCCATTGGCTTAGTTTTCCATGTGTTTATCACCAATTCAACCCCGAACTCCTTGCTGATTGTCTAACTCTCTCTCAAACTGTTCATGCTTACGAAGTAGCCTTTCCCAGAGCCTCTGCATTGCTACAAGCTGGACTGGCTGATCTCTAAGTAGGAGGCAGGACTGTCATCCTGGGGACCCCTTCCCCTGCGTCAGGTCTCCCACATATCATGCCTTCCTCCCTCGTGGTTGACTCCCTCTTGGTGGAACACATCCTCCGGTAACTAATTGTCTTAGAAATAGGAGGTGGTCTCTCTTCTTGGCGCTGCCTACGGAGGTGGCAGCCATCTCCTATTCGGCATCATGGCCGCCCTCAGACCCCTTGTGAAGCCCAAAATCGTCAAAAAGAGGACCAAGAAGTTCATCCGGCACCAGTCAGGCCGCTATGTCAAAATCAAGCGTAACTGGCGGAAACCCAGAGGTATTGACAACCGGGTTTGGAGAAGATTCGAGGGCCAGATCTTGATGCCCAACATTGGTTATGGGAGCAACAAGAAAACGAAGCGCATGCTGCCCAGCGGTTTCCGCAAGTTCCTGGTCCACAACGTCAAGGAGCTGGAAGTGCTGCTGATGTGCAGCAAATCTTACTGTGCGGAGATTGCTCGTAATGTTTCCTCCAAGAACCGCAAAGCCATTGTGGAAAGAGCAGCCCAGTTGGCCACAGAGTCACCAATCCCAATGCCAGGCTGCGCAGTGAAGAAAAATGAATAGACAGCGAATGTGCACATTTTATTTGTGTTTAAATAAAACCATAAAAACTGCAAAAAAAAAACCTGCCAAAAAAAGAAATAGGAGGTGTTTTGTTTTTTAGAAATTTCTTGTCTGAAGATGCCTTTGTTCTCCCTTCACAGCTGATCTCTAACTTGGTTGGGAATAGAATTCGAGGTTGCAAATAACTTCTGTTCAGAAATTCAAAGGCATTTCCCTATTGCCTTCTAGCTAGTGTTGCTATTGAGAAGTCCAAAGCCATTTGGATTCCCGGTCTCTTCTGTGTGGCCTGCTTTGCTCTCTGAAAACTTCTTTGCCATCATGGTTCCATTATTTCAGAATGTGCCTTAGTGTGAGTCTATTTTCATTCATTGTAATGAGCGTTTGGTCAGTCATTTCAATCCAGCAACATCTTTTAATTACGGGAAATTTTCTTGAATTATTTAACGACTTCCTCCCCTGCGCTGCCTTCTCGAACAGTCACCACAGTGTACCATTTATTCAGCGCTGGCTGTCCCCCACCCAGCTGTAAGTTCACAAAGGCAGGAACCCCACCTCTCTTGCTTAGTGCTCAGAACAGTGCCAGGCACACAGCAGGGCTCAATCAATTCTGAATGAATGGATGACAGGAAGAGACCAAATCCTGACGAACTTTAAAAGACAGATTTTTTTCTCTGTACTCTTTCTGGAACTATATTATATCAGTGTTAGACTTTTTGAACTAGTCCTCTAATTTTATTTTGTCTTCTATTTTCCATTCCTTTGTCTTTTTGCTTTACTCTCTGGGATATTTCTTCACCTTTACCTTTCAACTCTTCTATTGAGCTTTTCATTTCTGGTAATACATTTAAAATTCCAGTAGCTCTCTTTATTTCCCCCAAGGAACCCTTTTTAAAAAATAATAATATCCTGATGTTATCTCATGGTTGCAATATCTTCTCCTATTTCTCTGAAGATATGTTTCCTTTTTGAAAGTTTCATTCTTCTTGCAGTTTTCTCCAAGCTGCTGTTTTCCCTCTTTATTTGTTTTGATCTAAACATTTTATGTTAAAGGCTCTCCTCAGCCTGGTAATCCTTGCAGGTTTACTCGTATTTAAGAGTGAGACTTGGGCAGTGCAGCGGGGCTGTGGGGGTTTTGCGGGTCTCCGCTGTCACGTCCTTTAAAAAAAAAAAGAGTGAGACTTAAAAGCTGATTGGCAGTTCTGAATGCCAGAATGGGGTTTCTCAACTGTGAACTTTACTATAATGTAGGATTTCTCAAACTGTGCACTAGTGATATTTGGGGCCATATAATTTTTTGTTTGGGGAAGCGGGGCTGGGTCTGTCCTGTGCATTGTAGGGTATTTAGCAGCATCTTCAGCTTCTACCCAGTAGGCACTAGTAGTATCTTCCCAGTTGCCACAATCAAAAATGTCTGCAAAATGTGCCTGGAGGTGGGGGAAGTAGAAGTTAAAATTGCTCCCAGTTGAGAACCACTGCTATAAAGTGATCTGACTAGTCCATTTATTTAGGGAATTTCTGATGTCAGATAATTCTGTCTTTTCTCTAGTTACTAGCCATTTTTGCCATAGAAGATTCTCCTAGTTTTCTGCCTGAAGGGTAGAAGCCAGGCTGCCAACGCTGTAGGAGCAGTAGGGGAAGATGACTTGGCATCTCAGTATTCTGCACGCATGTCCACTCAAGCTCCCAGTATTTAGTGCAATACTACTCACCCTCAATAATGTCTGGTGCCCCCAAGTCTAGAGACAGTACTATTTTATTTTATTTTATTTTTGAGACAGAGTCTCATTCTCTTGCCTGGGCTAGAGTGCCGTGGCGTCAGCCTAGCTCACAGCAACCTCACACTCCTGAGCTCAAACGATCCTCCCGCCTCGGCCTCCCAGAGTGCTAGGATTACAGGCGTGAGCCACCGCGCCCGGCCAGACGCTACTATTTTAATCACTCTACAGAATAAACCTCCACTCCTTTTCTATGGTGGGGAAGAAGCATCACTTGGCTGCGCTAAGTCAGAAGGGGATTTGGGGAGCTCTGCAGTATTTAAATGGACTTTCAAACAGTTCCTCTCATTTTAACTTCCCCTCGCCCCCAATTTATGAAGATACTTTGCACCTCCAATTCCTCGGCCTTTGGTAGATTCTGTAAGTTAATTTTTAGTTTTCCTTTCCAATAGATTAGTTGGTTTTTTTTTTTTTAAAGGTATGCTAAGTACATAACCATTAGGCTATCTGCTAAATCAAAGCTCCTTAACATGGCGTGGAAGGTCTTTCAAGATCTGGTTCCTACCAACCCGTCATTCACTCAGTTGGTATATCTTTGGCCCTGTGATATGCCAGGCACTGTGCTGGGCACAGAACAAGAGGGACATGGTTCCTGTTATTATGCAACATATACACTTGTGAGGAAAGACTAATAAATACTGTATCTGTGACGAATGTTGAGAGAAGGCAGTGCAGTGGGTGTCGGTGCACACTGAGTTTGCAGGAATCAGATAATTCACCCATTTGCTCAAGCCAGAAACCAGGGAGTTACCTTCGAATCCTTACTCATGTCTAAACCAGCAGCAAGTCTTATATGTTCTATTTCTTAAATATCTCTCAAATGTGTTCTCTTTGTTCTCTCACTACCACAGCTATAATCCAGGTCACTGTCATCTCTTTCCTGTGCAGCTGCAACGGACTCCTAAAAGCTCGACCTTCCTCAGACACGCTGGCTCCCTCCACTCCATTCTCCTTGTCTCAGCCAGAGGGACCGTCTAAGAATAAAATTCTGACCATACCACCTTTCTGTCTAAAACCCCTTCAAGGTTTTTCCATTACCGTCAAGAAATAGGCTGAAATCCTCATTATGATCTACAAGGCAATATAATATAATGTAATTTTTATAAATCGGGGCTCTGGAGTCAAGAAACCCGAGTTCTAAAGTAGACTCCAGAACTTACCAGCAAGGTGACCTTGGGGAAGCTGCTTAGTAATTCTGAACCTCAGTCCTCTCATCTCCCCTGTAAAATACAGGTGCTAACACAATCTCCTCTGCCGGCTTATTCTGAGTATTAAACGATATGACAACCACCATGGGACAGCACGGATCTTAGCTGGCGTCACCGGGGGCCCCTCTCCCGTCTCGGTCAGTGCTCACCCGACAGCGCAGTGGTGAGGAGTTCAGACTCTCTGGACACAGCCTGACCTTCTGTGCCTGTTTTCTCCTCCATAAAATGAGGATAATAGAAGCCCACCTCACAAGATAGTGGAGGATTAAATGAAAATATGTAAAATGGTTAGAAGAGCGCTTGGCACATAGTTAATAAGACATGTCTGCTGCTATTCCATTCTCTTTCAGTTCTTCCAACGTGCCTCCTCTCAGCCGCTTCTCCTGCGCCTACTCACTGACTGGGTTCAAACTTCTCTCGCTCGGGGGAGACCTCCCGACTTCCTAGGGCCGCACTTCGCCAGGGCAGCATGTTCCGTGTCCACCGCGCGCAAATTCCAGCTGCCCGGGGCGCCTCCTGCCTGACAACTTCAGCGCCGCACACTCTTTCCAAAGAACCCCCTACAGCAGCTGCAAGGCTCTCGGGCGGCACGCCCTCGCGCGCTCCCCAGCATTTCACCACAGCTGTGACACCTTACGCCACGTGAAGCCATTAAGGCCCCCGGAAGCGAGCAGGTCCGAGGGACTTTCCCTCACCACCATCTACTCCCTACGCCCGCGCTGCGTTCAGCCTCTTCGGTCAGGCCAGAAAGGAGGTGGAACTCGGTGATTCGGCTTGCGGTTTCCCAGCCGGACCGAAAAGAGCAGCGCACCGAGCGTCGCGGGAGCAGCTCGTTGGTCCTCTGCTCTCGCGACATGGCCTTCAATTTTGGGGCTCCCACGGGCACCTCGGGCACCGCTGCAGCCACCGCGGCTCCCGCGGGTGAGTGATCCCCCCCTGGCTCTTCTCCGGGGAAAAAGGGGAAGTGTCTGGTCCGCCCCCTCGGTCCGAGAATTTCCGGCTTGGGGATCCTGGGGTCTCCCGCCTGCGCGGAGACTTTAGAGGCATCGGAAAAGGGCGGGAGGCAGCAGAGCGGGCCGAGGCGGCTCCTGGGGAGGCCGCGGGGGTATTCGAGGTCCAGCCCGGACCTCGCTCACAGCGCGTGGGTCCCCGCAGGGCCCTGTCCCGCCGCGGTTCGCTTCCCGCCGCCGGGGAGTTCGACTCAGAGAGATTGGCGGCTGCTCCCCTCTCCCCTTTCTCGAGACCCTTTCTACCTTCTCCACCGCAGCCGGACGGGCGGAAACGCTCGCGTGGCTCCCGCTGCCGGATTCGGCGAGATAGGGCTGGGGATCCCGGGGCGCTGCCCTGCGGCTCCCTCGGTTCCACCCCAGAGGGGCGGGAGCCTTCGCCCCAGCCCCTGGTGGTCCTAGATACGGGATTTCACGCTCCTGCTCCTTCTGTCTGTCCCCACCTCCTCTGCTTTCTTAACCTTTTTGGAGCGAAGTCAGGTTTGTTCACTTCTGTGAAGCCTTCTGCTGATTCTTCTAATCCTTGTCTTGCTTTCTTTTCTTTTTCTTCCTCTTCCCTTTCTCCCTTTTTAAAATTTTGTTTCTTTGCCTACACGCCTATCAGGATTTGGTGGGCTTGAGACTGCCAACTCCACCGCCAGTGGGTTTAATTTTGGGGGTTTCGGATTAACTGCTAATCCTGCAGTGAACTTTAATATTGGGAATTTCGGTGTTTCTACTACCTCGGCGACTCCGTTCAATTTTGGTAACAGTCTGGCAAGTGCAGGTAGATACTGCGGGTCGTATGTGTAACGAGTCTTGGGAGCTGGAGTCCAAGAATATTTCCTGATTCCTGGAGTTTGGGAAAGAACAGTGACTTCTCCAATAAGGAAAGGAAATTCATTTCCTTATATCGAATCAAAAACATTTGTATCAAGTTTTGACTGTCTTAAAAGGTGGTTTTGAAAAGCCTTGCAAGTTATAATGTTCCCCTGTTATATTTGCACTTAATTGAAAAGAATGTATCTTCCAAATGATAAGAATTTGGATTATAATTTTGGATAGAATATATCTTTTAAGTTATTAGATATATCTTCCAAAATATAAGCTCACCAGTCAGGCCTGTTTTCCTGGATTCTTGGACTCCTGCAGTCATTTGTCATTTTTCTGCATCTTTCATTGGGATTTCATGTTATTGTCCTTGTGTTTCCAAAGAGAAACAAGTCTTATACGAACAGCAGTAATCTCTCTTGTTTTTTAACCTGTATGATAATGATGATAATGTGTTTCTTTGGTCAACTCAGAAGATAAGGATACATTTCTATAAGTTGTGTAATTATAGAAAGAATCCCTAATCGTTACTGGATTTTTGGGAAATGCTCAGAGAGAGCAGCTTAATTTATTGTCAGATAGCATTGAGTTCTAAAAGGTAGGCTAGATATCATTACATTCAAAAAGATAATTATGAAAATTTTCATATCTATATGGATTGTTTGAAACTGATGAAAAATTTTGCAAAACACAAACTACAATGGAGATATATATATATATATAAATTTAAAATAGATTTATATGTACTTTTACATTCAATGACCCTATAGAAAAACCTTGTTCTTCAGCTGCTCGTATATGAATTTATCGTCCATATTCTCTTACATTATGCCTCTTATGCCCATGCCAATTATATGCATTTGGTAAACATCATTTATTCCCTAAAACTTATTTGAGAAGTCTGGTATTTTGTTCATTCACTTATTATAGCAATGTGAATATCATCCTAACATCTGAGTTGAAAATAGTTTGACGAATATTTGAAAATACCAAAGGTAAAATAATCTATTATGATTTAAGATATATTTGAAGTGCTTATGTATCATTATCCTTTAGTATGTTTACTTTTTCTTGTTTGCTTAAAATTGGCACTGGGTAAAACAGAAACCTTATTTTGAAATGTATGTTTCTGAATAAAGCCACTCAGCTCATAATTCAACAGCAATAAATAAACCTGTTGGTATTTGCTTGATTTCATGTTCATTTGGAGTTATCACTGTTACGTTTGAGTTATGATAATATAACTGTTTTTAACTACTTTTATATGTGTTAATTAGTTTGCAACAAAGGGCTGACAGAAATTCTTGTTTATATTTTATTTTGTATCCTTGTAGATCTGTTATTAGTAATAAAACATTTTTGGTGTTATGGAGCTTGATGAGACACAAACTAATGTTTTTATTGTGTAGCCAATTCAGATTATATCATAGTTATTCCATGGAAGTGAGGAGTAATAAAAAGAGATTAAGAACAATGCTTAATACTTTAGGTGATTTTTATCAAAATCTTTACAGTTTGCAGTACTGCAATAGAACCTACAAGTAAATAGAATATTTGGTTGTGGCTGCATGCAACAAGCAGTCTATTCTTGAGTAGTTTTCCAAAAATTATGTGATTAATATCAAATGGTTGTGTTTTTTCTTTTATGTTAAAATATTGATGAATCTGTCTTATATACTAGAAATGTATGAGATCAAAGGTAGAATCCCAGAAAACCTGTGGCATAACTCAGCACTAATGAATTAAACATTTGTCTTGAAAGGCTTTTTGACACCCCATTGATAATTAGCTAAAGACTGAAATGAGTTAAAAATAATAAAACAGTTTTGGATTCGCTAGCATTCCATTTATATGTCAAGTTAGATATAGCTAAGATTAATTTCATCTCTAGACTCATCTAAAAATTTGTCTGTCTGAGTTGCCCAACTGTGGTGCAGAGGCCTGTGGGAACCCTGCTCACCTTCCCTGCCACTGCCTCCACTCGTGGTTTTTTTTTTTCTTTCCCTTTATCTCTTCCTTCAAGAAACACATTCTTATTGCATAGAGGTAAGTATATTGATATATTTCCTTTGAAAAGTGACTTAGTCTTGACACCGACTAAGTAGAAATACAAGCTAATGTAGATATAAATTAATTTGCCAAAACCAAGGTTGCAAACTGGAACAAGTCTGCCCACATGATATGTTTGGAATACTATTTTTAAACCATTTGAATTAGTTTCAAAAAAATAGTTGAATTAGGGTTTAAAAACCAATGAATTTTACGTGGAAAATCCAGTTTTTCTATTTCTCTTGGGGAAAAATGGAAATATATGACACTACTAAAGTACCCTTCTTCTGTAATAGTAATCTGCTGGAATTTAGGAATTGCAGCTATTTTTTTAAACAAATTATTCACTTTATTTTTTTTTATCTATTTTTTTTTTAGCCAGACAAATTTAGCAGTGGGGGGTTGAATACCAACTTTAGTGTCACTACTGTTAATAAGTTCTGATAACCCACTACCATGGGACCAGCCAAACTGTTCACTTTAAACAGTTCCACCTGTCAGTAAACACATGGTCTGCTCATTAATCTCATCAATCTAAATCTTCTAGGCATTTGAATTTGCAACCCCTACTCTAAAAGTACATACGTAGTCTTTTTTTTTTTTTTTTTTTTAGAGACAGTCTTGTTGCCCGGGCTAGAGTGCCGTGGAGTCAGCTTAGCTCACAGCAACCTCAAACTCCTGGGTTCAAGCGATCCTTCTGCCTCAGCCTCCTGAGTAGCTGGGACTACAGGCATGCGCCACCATGCCCAGCTAATTTTTATATATATTTTTAGTTGTCCAGATCATTTCTTTCTATTTTTTAGTAGAGACTGGGTCTCGCTCTTGCTCAGGCTGGTCTCGAACTCCTGACCTCGAGCGATCCTCCCGCCTAGGCCTCCCAGAGTGCTAGGATTACAGGCGTGAGCCACCACGCCCGGCCCATAGTCATTTTTGAGTTAGGGCAGTAGGCTTAACATGTTTTCTTGGGTGTTACTATTAATCTCCCCTTTAGTTGAGTATATATAGCATTTCGATTTTTCTATCTTAAATACTTAGTCGCTTATTTCTTGCAACACATTGACTTCTTGATTAGTAATATAATTTTTTTAAAAATTGATGTTGAAAGTAGAGAAAGGAAAAACTAGATAAATATATTTTGATTTAATATGTAGCATTTACTTATACTTTGAAAAAGAAATTGCTTTTATGTATACAAAAGATTTTTCCTTTCTATTTTATCCTTTTCTAATTAGGTGGGTTTGGAGGATTTGGAACAACATCTACAACTGCAGGTTCAGCATTCAGCTTTTCTGCCCCGACTAACACGGGCACTACTGGTAAGAAGCCATCTTACGTCGTTTGTAGAAGTAAATGAGGTAGAGATTAAGGGTTTTTTGGTTTTTGTTTTTTTTTTTAACTTATGCAATTCCAATTTTTCATTCAAAGGACTCTTCGGTGGTACTCAGAACAAAGGTTTTGGATTTGGTACTGGGTTTGGCACAACAACAGGAAGTAGTACTGGTTTAGGTACTGGTTTGGGAACTGGACTGGGATTTGGAGGATTTAATACACAGCAACAGCAGCAAACTAGTAAGTATGATGTTTTCATCTTCAAATATAAAACTGTAACAATAATAGCTAACGTAATTGAGTGCATTGTTTGAAATACTTTAGTGTATTATCTTTTTTTTTTTTTAAGAATTGTAAATATTATATTCTAAAAGACTTCATAAGCTACTTTTCATGTTTATATATGACAGCAGCTGGGGAGAAGACTGATGGGCATGATTAGGATCCTTTGTTTAGACTCATTCCACTTACATTTTTGTTGTTGTTAAAAATAACACAAATAGAGAAAACTGCACGAAAGTACAGCTTAATGGATTATATGTAAGTTTAACACCCTTGTAACCATTGCGCATGTCAGGAGGTGGACCCTGGCTGGCCACTTCAGAAGTCCACCGCCATTCCCTTCCCAACACTTCCCTGTCAGAGGAACTATAGTCCTGGGTTCTATGGCGATCATTTCCTTACTTTTCTTTATAGTTTTGTCATTCAAGTATGTAAACAGTATTGTTTAGTTTTGCCTGTCTTATATCTCTATGGGTTCCCCTTTTATCTCTCTTTTTTATTTTTTAATTTTTTGGAGAAATCAGATCTTTTGTCCTTTAGAGCTGTGGTCCCCAACCTTTTTGGCACCAGGGACCAGCTTCATGGAAGACAATTTTTCTGTGGACTGGGGATGGGGTGTGGGTGGAGCTCAGAGCTCAGGTGGTGATAAGTGGCCAGTTTCCTAACGGGCCTAACAGGCCACTGACCGGTAATGGGCCACAGCCCAGGGGTTGGGGACCTCAGTTAGAGTTTTTCCGTCAAGACTTTACCAATTCCGTTCCTGTGGTATAGCTTAGCATATTCCTTTGTTCTCTGTATTAATAATTGGGTTGTATCTGGGGACTTATATATATTGATCAGTTTTTGGTTTGCAAAACTATTTTATAGGTATTGTGTTCTTATCAAGAGGCATATAATGTCTAATTGTCTCTTTTTTGTATGTGATGTTAGCAGCCATTGGTGATCATTACCTGGATCCATTAATTCATTAGAGGTTACAAAATGGTGCTATTCTACCTCAATTCCTTTTCCACTTATTTGTTGGAATACTTCTATAAAGAGACGCTTCACCTTATCTGTTTGCTTGATCCTTTCCTTCGTTACTAGTTTTCAGAATGAAGAGTTGGCTGTCTAGCATTCTCCAAAGGTGACCATTTTTTTTTTAATGTCAGTAACTCAAGCATTTGAACTATTTATTTTTTAATCCATTGCAGTTATTATTCACATTGAGTTATTCCCCCTTCAGCCAATGCGAGCCTCTTCAAGTTGGCTCCCAAGTCCTTTTGACGCAAGTCTGATACTAGTCTTTGATAGCTTCCTTATTAGCTGGTGTGGCAGTAGGTTCCAGGGGTTATCCTCTATGGGTTAACTTATTTAATTCTCACAAGAACTCTCTGAGATAGCACTTTTGCTATCCCTATTTTATGGGTGAAGAGAGGAAACTGAGAGATTGTGACTTACCTCACATCTCTCAAGAAGAAACACAGGAGCATACATTCAAGTTCCTTGACTCCCTGCATCGTGCTCTCTTCACTTTTCCACAGTCAGGTACCTCTTAAAGTCACTTTTGTTTCATTTTTCTTAGGTAACTTGATTACTGGCTAAAATCCATCCTACTGAGTCATTGAAGATTAATAATTAAACATGAATTCCAAGGATTACCTAACCAGTAGGATAAAGATGATAGAATAGTTGTTTCCGAATTCATTCTTTCTGGTGTTCCAGTCATTCTTCTTTTCTACAGTCCTGCAAAAATACAAATTTTAATGAAATGTCCAAGTAGTTAAGGAGAGAAAAGCAAAAATGAAGCATTTGTTCCTTGAAATAAAGTCTCTCCAGCTATGAGTAATCGTAGTTGCAGTTACCTTTGATAGGAAAAATGGGAGTTTGAATCTGGTGCTGTTTCAAAAATGAAAGGGGCTCATTTAGTTATGTCATAGCTATTTATTGTATATATTGTATGTCAGGCATTGGTGTATAAAGTTGAAAACCATAATCCCTGCTCATAGTCTACAAGGTAGACTTCCAGGGTATTCCAAGAATAACATCGACAAAGGCATGGATTCATGGAAGAGCGTAGTGCATTTGGGACCTGCAGCTAGGTCAGTATAGTTTGAATGCATAATTGACCGCAGAGTCAGTGGTGAGAGCTGAAGAGAGAGAGATGAACTGGTTTATAAGGGGCCTTGTATGTTTTAATAAGTAGCTGTCCTTTAAGCAATTATGAACCATTGTAGGATTTAAGCTACATAGAAAAATTATCAGATTTTTAGAACTATTTCTGAGAGAAATGGATAGATTACAGGTGGGCTGGAGTAGAGGCAGGGATGCTAGTTCTGACGCTGTTGCCAAAATCTAAGCAAGAATAGCGAAGACCTGAATTAAATTAAGGCAGTGGCAGTCAGTAGGGAGAGAAAAAAAACAGGAGATGGAGTTGAGAGAGACTTAAATTGTAGAATCAATAAAATTTAATGACTGGATAAAGGTATCTTGGGCTCATGGATGGCATGACTGAATGAGCTCTTGCTCTTACTAAGACACAGAATACCAAAGTAAAAGCAGGTGTTTGTAGGTAGTTTGAGTTGCCCCCTCTGTAGTTGTGTATGTGGCTATGAACTCAGGAGAAACATAAGGAAACGATCAGAGCATAAGTAGAATTTAAAGCAGTCGATACGGATGATGTCATTTAGGAAACTTGATTCCAGAGTAATATTGAGTAGGCGGAGGAAGAGAGCCCATCTCTTGCTACCACCCCAAGCCCAGTAGGATGTTAACCCCCAAATATTGAGCAGCGTGCTTGGGACCACTGCCTGCCCTCAACACACATGCCTGTCCACGTGGACCTCACACTCACTAGCTCCCTTTGACCAGTCAGAGTTACTGCCTGTCTCAGTTGGCAATACCTGTGAATGAAGAGGAGAAGACATTCAGCTTTCCCTACAACCACCAGACCTCTTTTCCAAGCTAAAGCACTGATTTTCCAGAATACTCCGAAAGACTGTTGGGTCTTTAGACAACTGATAGTTGCTGCTCTTTCCATCAGCTCTGTCTGTCTTTACTGCTCTCTCCAGCTGGCTTAAATCTATGGCTTCCATCTCAGCAACTCTTGCCAGTGTGCTAAACTTACAGTTTTTGTATCACATTTGCCTGAAAACCTCCAAGTCTTTGTAAGCCCAACTGTGTATTCGGATATTGCTTGAGAAAAGTCACATGTTACGGAAGATTGAATAGTACCTCTATAAATTCCTGATTACGAGCCTCAGGCCTCAGCATTGCCTGGTAATCCTGTGAAGTTTCTATTTTCAACTCACTTTCTATACAGTTACTTTAAACCTTTAGTCTCTTCAAATCTCAGATTTCTCCTTTCTCACTTTTAGCAGATAGCCTTGACCCCCTGCTTCAAAGAGAAAATAGAATCTCTCATTGCAGTTGCTTCAGATTCCCACTGTGAAATCTTCCTCTTCCTCCCTCTACCCCTCCTTTCCTCTTTCACCTGTACTTAGGAACTCGTAAGCTCCTACCTTCTTTAGGCCCTTGTGCTGGTGATTATTTTAGCTGTCTTCAATTTTTCTCCTCAGTGGTCCTTCTCATCCACATTTAACACATTGCCACACTAGAAAAAATTTTTTTTTCCTTGGGGCCTCGGTGTTTTATTATGAAAATAGAATAAAAACTTCGAAAACAAAATGATCCTTTCTAATTTAATGAAAAATGAAATTTGTTGACTTCTGTTCATTTAATCCATGTTTTTAGAATTAATTTGTCAATATTAATTGCAACAATAAGAACATCATTTTGCCCAGGTTTTGCTTCACGAAGCCCTAAGCTCAAAACTAGCGTGAGTTAAATACAACTCACGTGGCAGTTAATCTGTTAAAAAACCTGAAGTTTCTTTCTTCTTAAATTGGTAATACCAACAAGAAAAAATGACTTTTATCTCACATTTCACTTCAGCTGCCACTCTTCTCCCCTTTACAGACTACTTGAAATAGTTGTTAGAGAAGAGTAGCTCCCCTACTTCTGTCTCCAGTTCCCTCCTAGCCCACGCTAATCTGGTTTCTATTTTCTTTACCAGATAGTTAAGGTCATTAATCATGTCAGTAAATCCAATGAACACTTACTGTTCTTTATGGAAAATTCCAACAACAAAAAAAGAATAGTGAAGTGAACCACTGTATGTTGCCAGCTCGTCATCAAAAGTCAGAATTTGCCACATTTCTTATTATCTATTTCCTTTTTCCCTTTTTTCCTTTTTCACTGAAGTACTTTAAAGCAAATCCCAAGCATGTCATTTCACCCTTGCTTTACTATGTGTCTTTCTCTAAAAACATGTATATCGTTCCAACCCACAATAATTCCTTTGTATTGTCTAGTACCCAGTCTATAATCAGATTTCCCCTTATGTCTCAAAATGTTTTCTGCATTTGTTTTGAATCATGATCCAAACAAGGTCTACACATTTTCTTGTTATGTCTCTTAAGTTCATTTTAGTCTAGAAAATTCCCCACTCTCTTTTTTTTCCCTCATGAATTTTCCAGTTGTCCTGTGAAATGTCCCCCATTCTGGATTTTTCTGTTTGCTTCCTCGTAGTATTGTTTAACTTCATCCCTCATAATTCTGGTAAATGAAGTTACCTTTAAGGACTCGATTAGATTTAGGTTTGACCTTTTTGGTGAGGATACTTTGCAGGTGGTGCTGTGTGCTTCATATCACCTCACGTTAAGAGGCTGTCTCATGGTCAGTGGTGCTAAGATTGATCAGCGGGTTCAGATGGTGACAGCAGGTCTCTGTCTTACAAAGTTCCCCATCAGCCTTTAACTTAACGGTTTCATTCCTTGATGATCATTGCCTCAATCAAGTTATCTTATCAGCAGTTGCAAAATGGTGATTTTCTAATTTCCTCCCTTCCACACGAAATTCTTCTGTGAAAGGAACTTTCCTTCATCCCCCGAGACTACTTGATCACCCTGATACATAGTTTGTATAGGAAAGGCAGGAAAAATTCTTTCTTTTTAATCAACAATTTTTGTAAGAGACTTGGTGGCCTCATTGCCAATGGTGTCCAAGGAGTTAGGATTTTTAAAAATTTTGATCTTTACCTTTTTTTCTTCCCTGAAACAGAGTCTCACTCTGTCACCCCGGCTGGAGTTGCAGGGGCACAATCACAGCTCACTGTAACCTCGAACTCCTGGGCTCAAGCCATCCTCTTGCCTCAACCCCCAAAGTAGCTAAGGCCACAGGTGTGTGACACCACGCTGGGCTCATTTTTTATTTTAATTTTTTTGTAGAGACGGGGCCTCGTTATGTTGCCCTGGCTGGTCTCAAACTCCTCACCTCAAGTGATCTCCTGCCTTGGCCTCCCAAAGTGCTGGGATCACAGGCTGAGCCACCGCACCAGAGCTGATTTTTACTTTTTAAAATTACCATTTCGAATGCATGGGCTTTAATAAAAATGTCAGTTAGTTGCATTCATCATTCATTTTGATGCTTACCCGGTCCCATTTTTGGCCAGTGGGAGACCTTGACTGCTGTGACACCCTAGTCTACTTTTCCTGCCTCGTTGTCTAGCGCTCCTCATTGCCTTTGCCAGCCATCTTCCCCTCCTCTTCTAAACAGAGTTTTGTACATGCATTCGTCTTTACCCCTACCCCATGGCCAGGCTGACTACTTCCTTTAGGCCTTAACTGAAGTTCTAATGGGACAGCCTTCTCTTGACCCCTCTCTCTCTCAGGCTTGATTAGCTCCCTTCCTTAGTACTCTCATGGTCTCGGTGCTTTTCTGAGGAACTTACCACAATTGTTAATATTTGTTCCATGTGCTCAGTTTGTTTAACGAACCTTGTCTTGTATACCACTGTATCTGTACTGTTTTTAGCTCTATGCCTGACACTTAGTGGGTACTCAGTAAATATTTATTGCATGAATGAATGAATGTATGTTTTTATATATATAAATAAATAAAACCAAGAGAGACGATATTGCCAGGAAATCTAAGGGAGAAGGGATTTTCAAGGAGGATGTATGTTCAGCAGAAGTTGAAGATTTTCTTTGGGGGCTGAAGGAATAGTCAACAGCATAAGGACCCTAAAAGGTAGGAAGGTACAAGAAGTCGAATACACTAAGGCTTTAAAAGAGTCTGTAGTGGATTTTGTAATTTGAGATCATCAGTGACTTCCAGCTACTGAACTTTGAGTGGATTAGTATGGTTGCAATTCAGTGTGGAATTAAGTGGAAAAGGGGAGACTGAATGTAAATCAGTATAGAGCATAATTAATTCATCTCATGTAAAAGTTGAGGAAGATAAAGCCCAGGAATTTCTTGCTCAAGGCCACACAGTGAGCTTATAATGAACCAGGAATCAGGTGTCCTGACTTCTAGTCCACTTTCCAATTTTTATATATGCCCATCTGGGAATTAGTAATACTGCTCCGAAGAATAAAAGAGCCTCCTCCTAGCCCTGGAGAAGCTCCATGGACCTTGTGGTACTTTAATCTTTAGAGCTGAAAGGAGCTTAAATATCTAACACAGTGTTCTAAAACTCAGGTCATTTTGGTACTATCTTCATGGTTTTCTCTTTATCTACATACTATTTGTATTAGTTTTCTTCACATCAATTTACTTTTAAACATTAAATATAGCTATTTTAAAAGAAAAATTTATATCGCTGTTATAATTGGAAAACCAGTATTATTTGCTATAAAAATAATTGAAATTAAGTACAAAGAAAATATAATTTTAATAAATTCTAGATAGATACTTTTCCCTTAAGCTCTGAGCCTTAGACTTGTTCCTCTTGTTAAAAAATGAGATGCAGGTATCATGAGTTGTTAAAGGCATACTAGCACCAAACAGATTTTTTTCTTTATATAATGAGATCATCAAAAGAGAATTTTTTGTTATATAAATTGGTTAGTGACTCAGCTATTGCTTTACAGCTATAATTTCATATACTGGGGTACTTATCTCACATTTTGGGAAATCCTAGAAACTTTGCCCTCCTTTGCATTAGAGAAGTTTGTAGCCCACAGAGATTAGCTGGCTTGCCCAGAGTTACACAGTCATCTAAAGCTTTAGCCAAGAATACTGATGGTTAGTCCATTCATTCTTTTCATTATATATTTTTTTATAGTAAGAGAAGGAAAAATGTAAGCTGATTTTGATATAACAATTTTTTAGCTTATTTTATATCTCCCAATTTATATTTATTGTACACATATAATGGCAATAAATGTTGTTTAAAAAGGAAAAAATCCTACAACTTCACAGACTTTTCTGTGCCCATATGCATTCCTCTTTTTTTTCTTTTTTTTTTTTTTTTTTGATGTAGGTATAATATTGTGGATCTAATTTGTTTTCTGGTAATGGAATTAATTGTATTAAGATAGCATCATTAATAAAGCAAGTTTAACATTAGGGACATAGGCTTTGTCTAGTGTATTAGTTTGACCAGGACATAAGGTTTGTCCTAGTGTATTAGTTTCCTATTGCTGCCATAACAAATTACCACAAATCTAGTGGCTTAAAACAATAGAGATTTATTATTTTATGGTTTCTGGAGATCAGAGGTCCAGAACTGGGTTTCATGGAGCTAAAACGAAGGTGTTGGCAGCACTGTGTGACTTCTGGAGACTTCGGGACAGAATCCATTCTCTTGCTGTTTCCAGCTTCTGGAGTCTCCCTGCATTTCTTGGCTTGTGGCCCCTCCTTTCATCTTCAAAGCCAGTAGTACAGCATCTTCAAATCTCGTTTTGACTCCGAGCTCAGCTTCTACTTTTAATGACCTTATGATTACGCTGAGCGGACCCTGATAATCCAGGATAATCTCCCCATCTTAACATGCTTTATCACATCTTCCAAGGCCCTTCGCTGTGTAAGGTAGCATAGTCACAGGTTCTGTAGATTAGGATGTGGATATTTGCGGTGCCATTATTCTGCCTACCTTGTCTATGATCTGAATTGATTAAGTTTTGGGTTTTTTAATGCTGATTGGGGTGTATTTTTAGCATTAGGTGGTCTCTTCAGTCAGCCTGCGCAAGCTCCTACCCAGTCCAGCCAGTTGATAAACACCGCGAGTGCTCTGTCTGCTCCGACGCTACTGGGAGACGAGAGAGACGCTATTTTGGCAAAATGGAATCAACTGCAGGCCTTCTGGGGGACAGGCAAAGGCTACTTCAGCAATCACATTCCACCCGTGGAATTCACACAAGAAAATCCCTTTTGCCGATTTAAGGTATCGATGCTGTTTTTGACCTTCAATTTTAAAGAGTGTGTATAAGAGAGAATATGGTATTTAGATTAAAATAGTATCAAAAAAACAATCGCTTAGGTCTTTACTACTCCTTGAACATAGTATGATTATACTTTTATTTTTAAAATATAGAAATTATAAAAGCAAAATGATTTCTTACATGTGTGTGGTTGAGGAATATGACTGAAGGAAGGTGTGACAAGAATATGATTTAGTTATAAATCATAAATGAAGAAAAAGGGGAATGGTCTGCTTGGCTCTTATAAAGGCGAGACCCAAATCTGCAGTTTAGTGGTATTCATTTAACATTGGCCAGGAAAGTATATACCCTAACCAGTGGACAAGAATTCTCTTTGGCATATATAACTTTATTGCCACTATTATAGCTGGATGCTAAAGTCATTAAAACAATATAGCCCATTTTCTTTGTTCAGATTCCTTGCCTACCAGACAACCTTCTCATTTGAATCTGATGCTTCAGAGAATCTGTTCATCAGCCAGTGAGAGTATTTAGGTCCATTATGTGGTGCATTTTTCCATAACAAATAAATATATTGCAATCTAGTTTATACTTCAGCCTCTTGTGAATTATGTCAGTCTCTTAAACTTAATCAATGTGTACGTGAACCTGTGTTTAGAGCTGCAGGGCTGAGTGTTAGACCCTTGAACATGGCTCAACAACAGAAAGTGATCACCTTGTCTTGTTAAAAGAATGTCTCTTTGTCTCATCACTCTGTCAAAAAGTATATCTTTTGAGTGCATATAGTTGAAATTTTAATAATTTTGTTTAGTGACTATGAGGTATAAAATAGACATAAGTTGAATATGATAATTTAAAGGTTTTTATAGTGTACAACATACATATAGTAAAATGCGTAATGTACACTTGAGTAAATTTGAATTCTTTTTTAAAAGTTGCATATAAGTGGTGACAAGGGATAAAAGGATTCTATATAAAAGAACAATTCTTTAGAAAGGTATGGTTGGACATAATACTATGTAAGAAACAAACCTGTTTCATAAAGTTTTATATTACATGAAATCATGAAATGATACTGACTTTTATTATAGTATTTGTCAGTTGACAGAGTCATTACGTACTCTAAAAGCATATATGTGTAAATCACTTCTTTCTATTAATATATCTAAAATTTAGTTTAAGATTCCATGGATCAGATATACATATGCTCCTTAATTTGTGATGGGTTTATGTCCTGATAAACTCATCGTAAATTGAAAATATTGTAAGTGGAAAATGCATTTAATACACCTAACTTACCAAGCATCATAGCTTAGCCTAGCCTACCTTAAATGTGCTCAGAACACTTAGATTAGCTTACAGTTGGAAAAAATCATCTAACACAAATCATCTAATTTATAATAATAAAAATAAAAGTTTTATAATAAAAAATACAAAAGATCAAAATATGATTTCAACTGAATACTTATTGCTTTGTATCATCATAAAGTGGAAAAACTTAAGTTGAGCCATTATCAGTCAGGGACTATCTGTATAGTAAAATAAACATTTGCAGTCATTTTTATAATGCCATATGTGGAGTTGTTTCTTTTTTCTTTCCTTTTTCTTTTAGAGACGGGGTCTTGCTCTGTCACCCAGGCTGGAGTGCAGTGGTGCAGTCAGCTCCCTGCAGCCTTGAACTCCTGGGCTCAAGCAGTCCTCCTGCCTCAGTTTTCAGAGTAGCTGAGAACACAGGCACATGCCGCCACCCCAGCTAATTTAAAAGACTTTTTTTAGTGATGGGGTCTCACTGTGTTGCCAACGCTGGTCTCAAACTCCTGGCCCCAAGTGATCCTCCCACTTTGGCCTCCCCAGTTTCTGGGATTATAGGCTCGAGAGTTGCTTCAGCAGTTCAGAAACACCCGACAATAATGGATTTCAAAATTTTGGGGAGGAGAAAGCTCTTTAGTTACTCTGTTGAAGAGGAAATTTTAATTTCACTCTATAGGTTTAAGTTATTCTTGGGTGCAATATTTTTCTTTATAATTTTGTGACCTCCTAGGGCACAGAGTGTTGGGAAGAAGCACTATTTCCTTCATTGCCGGATATTAAGTTTTCCCTGTTTTAGCAGATATTAAGCTATTAATATTAAACACCTAATTTAAGATCTGTACATATTTTTGATATTGTTTATTTTGTCATTCCACAGGCAGTAGGTTATAGTTGTATGCCCAGTAATAAAGATGAAGATGGGCTAGTGGTTTTAGTTTTCAACAAAAAAGAAGCAGATATTCGAAGCCAGCAACAGCAGTTGGTAGAATCATTGCATAAAGTTTTGGGAGGAAACCAGACCCTTACTGTAAATGTAGAGGGTATTAAAACATTGCCAGATGATCAGTAAGTATACATTAAATATACTGTTTATTTCTGCGTGCCGTAGTCCAAAGAGAGGTTCAACAGTGTTTTTGTTGCTGAAGCACAAATTAAATCTCAGAGCAGAATGTTTTTTCTCAGCTAGTGATTATTCAGTATTTATAGAAACATTTGTTCAAAAGTTTTTTAAAAAACTTAGATTTCTTAACTCATTAGATGCTAGTAATTTCTTGGATTTTCATTTAGGACCAGGAAGGAAACATTTATCATGGCTGTGTGCAAATTGAGTGCCACAAAGACATTATTGGAAAGTTTTATTAACTGATTACTATTTATATTCATTCATGGATAAATGTGATTGCTTTACTTCCCTTGTCCTATGTATATATTCTGTCTTAGTGGCAAGACATTTACTCTAGGATATTTAGGGTTAGAAAAATTACCATTATTAATGAGATATATTAACTGAATCGGATTTTACTTCTTAGTCTTAATTGTAGAGAGGCACTCCCTAAGTTTCAATAGAATCTCCAAAGTACTTTTCAATTGTGGAAAATATAATAAATAATATTCATATATGACTTTGCAGCTAAGCAAACCCTTTTATAAATACTATCTTATTTACCTGCCTCATTTTAACTTTATCATGTAAGTTGATTTATGAGTGAAGATAGCATTAAGTAAAGGTTTCTTATTTTCCAAGATTTATGAAGAAAACATTTTAATTCCCTTCTAAAACAACCATTTTTGGTTTTTTTTAATTAATTAATTAATTAATTTTTCCTTTCTTTCCTGTGAATGGAGAAGACATGCAAAAAACAACCATTTTTGAATTTAGCTTGCACCCTTCTAAAATCACATGCGTTGAGATTTATGGCCATGAATTCCATGCTCCGTATTTTATAAATTGGTTATCTTTCCTTTAGGACAGAAGTTGTCATTTATGTTGTCGAGCGTTCTCCAAATGGTACTTCAAGAAGAGTTCCAGCTACAACGTTATATGCCCATTTTGAGCAAGCCAACGTAAAAACACAATTGCAGCAACTTGGCGTAACCCTTTCTATGACTAGAACAGAACTTTCTCCTGCACAAGTCAAACAGCTTTTACAGAATCCTCCTGCTGGTATGTTTCTAGAATCATAGAGTTCAAAAAACGAAAGATTTAGAACTAAATGCTCCCCCTATTTTGGGAGACCTTGGTTGGTTTTTAATGTAAATAAAACTACGGTCAACTTTTTACATGTCTGCCTATTTAGGATATAGTTTTGAATACTTGTAGTAATTCAGTCAATTAGTTTTTTTTCCTATATAGTCTAATATGTTTGTTAGAAATTTTGAGAAATGGTGAGCTAGGGAAAAATAGTCCATAGTCTATAATCCATCTAACCAAAGGTAATTCACTAGTAATATTTTGATTTATTTTTTCTAGCCTATCTCTTGATTTAACTGAGTATTCAAATAAAACCTGAATGTGTTCTCACTGTAATAAATTCTAGATGGCATAACTAGATTCAAATAAAGGGGATGTGATAGATCCCCTTTACCTCCCTTCCCCAGAAGTAGCTATTAATAATTTATGGTACTCTATTAATTCTTTGTCTGTGGTTTTAAATGGAAGCATATTTACATGTCAGTACTTTAAAAAAGGTTTCTGCACTGTGCATTTACTGCAGTTTGCCTTTTTACTTGTGGTATTTCTTAGTACTTTTTATGTCAGTACATGAAGATAATTCTTTTTTTTTTTTTGAGACAGAGTCTCACTCTGTTGCCTGGGCTAGAGTGCCGTGGCGTCAGCCTAGCTCACAGCAACCTCAAACTCCTGGGCTCAAGCGATCCTTCTGCCTCAGCCTCCCAAGCAGCTGGGACTACAGGAATGCGCCATCATGCCCAGCTAATTTTTTTTTTTTTCTCTCTATATATATTTTTAGTTGTGCAGATAATTCCTTTCTATTTTTTAGTAGAGACAGGGTCTCGCTCTTGCTCAGGCTGGTCTTGAACTCCTGACTTCGAACGATCCTCCCGCCTCGGCCTCCCAGAGTGCTAGGATTACAGGCGTGAGCCACCGCGCCCGGCCTCTTTTCATTGCTTTTAAAAAAATATTGATTATGGTGAGGAAGCTTAGTGTGGTGAGAACCAGGAGTGGAGAAATCTGAGTGCCGGTCTCCTAATACATGCATTTAATAATGCAGTTTTTTGACTGCACTGTATTTCCTCATTTGTAAAATAGGTTAAATAAAAATCTCTGTGGTGTAACATTTTTTTTCCTTTTTTCTTTTTGTTTTTTGTTTCACCTACCCCCTAACATTTTTTATTTCGTAGTCATAGATCTGCCTTAGAACCCTAGAAATTTGATGTAAAATTTCGTGGATGTTATCCTGAGAACCCTAACGTCTTATATTTTGTGATAGTAGGCTTAAGATCTGAAAATTGTCCACTTGAATTTCTTCAGGTTAATTCCTGTACCAATGGTGGGTTTCAAAGAGCTGCTCCGAAGACTGAAGGTTCAAGATCAGATGACTAAGCAGCATCAAACCAGATTAGATGTAAGCATTTAGCTTTTCATTCTCTGGCTCTGGGAGTAGGAAGAGCTATTAAAGACACTTAATTCTTTTTACTTCGTGTGCTACTGTTTTATTTTACAGGGGAACAAAATAGCATACACTGCAAATTAACAATTATAGTTTTATACAACTACCTTTTTATGATAGAGTTCCAAATCATATAAATCTGATTTGATATATTTTAATAATGAATTTAGAATTGTTGGCTTAGCAAATTAATTAGACTGTCATTTCCAATTTTAGCTGGAGATTGCATATTATTCTCTTTATTAAACACTTATTTGTGGGGCCGTAGGAAAATGAAGGCTACAGTTATCCTTTATGTTGTTATAAGGTATAATTGTCTTGGTATATGTTGATGAAGCAAATTTAAATTGTTGAATGCTTAAATCTACTTAATATTTTATTTAGTAGGCTTTCATAATCAAATACTTAAAGATTGTTAAACTTTGTATGATTTCAATTCTTTTAACTTTGTTAGGGTTTTATAACCCAGGTGCCTATGAACATAATGTGTATTCTGCTGTGCTTGGGTGGAGTTTTCTATTAGTGTCAATGAGAGCTGACATCCAGTGGTTGATGGTATTATTCAGTTCTATATTCTTCATTTTTCTGTCTACTAGTTTGATTATTGTGAGAAGAGAATTGAAGTCTCTAGCTACAGTTATGGATTCGTTGTCTTCTTTCAGTTTTGTCTATTTTTGCTTCCTGTATCTTGAAGCTTTGTTGATAGATACATTTTTATCTAGGATTATTATGTTTTCTTGGAAAATTTACCTTTTATTATTATGTAATGTCCCTCTTTATTCCTGGTAATTTTTAAAAATCTTATCTAATGGCTTTTTTTTTGCCTTTATTGTTATTTTTAATGGACACATAATAATTGTACATACTTACGTGGTATAGCGTGATAACTCAATACAAGTATACAATGTGTCATGATCAAATCAGTGTAATTTAGCATATCTGTCACCTTTAAACCTCATTTCTCTGTGTTGGAAACCTTTAAGATCCACTCCTGTAGCTACTTGAAAATACACAATAAATTGTTAATTACAGTCACCTCATGGTGCTACAGGATGCGAGAATTTATTCCTCCTAGCTAGCTGCAGTTTCGTATCCATCAACCGATCTTTGGCGATTCCACCCTCCCCGACTCCCTTCCCTGCCTCCAGTAACCACCATTCTACCCTCTATTTCTATGGGATCAACTCTTTTAGCTTCCACATATGAGTTAGAACACGTGGTGTTTGTCTTTCTGTTCCTGGTTTATTTCACTGTACATACTGTCCTCCAAGTTACCCATGTTGCAATGAATGACAAAATTGCGTTTTTTTTTTTCCTTTTTCCTCAGCGGAGACTTGCTGTTCCGTCTGTATCCATTCATCTGTCATGCACACTTATTCAGACACTTGCTCTGAAGTCTACTTGTGTCTGATAGTAACACAGTCGCTCTTTCTTTCGATAAGTGTTTTTGCAGTATCTTTGTCTTTTTGCTTTTAACCTACCTACATCACTATACTTGAAGTGAGTTTCTTGTAGATAGCGTGAAATTTGGATTCAGGCCTACCATTTTATTATTTGTTTTCTCTTTGTTGCCTCTGTTTTTTATTCCTCTCTTTCCTCTTACCTGCCTTCTTGAGGTTATTTGGACTTTGTTAGCATTCCATTTTTAGTTTATCATTTCAACTATTAGTTTGTTTTTAGTGGTTGCTACCGGGCAGTAGCTCTCAGTGGGAGGTTGTAGCGATGGCGGTGGCGGTGACTTTGTCCCCCAGAGCACATGTGGCAGTGTCTGCACACTCTTGGCTGGGAAGGGCCACAGGCATCTGGTGTAAAGGCCTGGATGCTGCTGCACGTCCTGCAGTGTGCAAGACAGCACTCTCGCAACAAAGAATTGGCCCCAAACTGACAGGGCTGATGTTACGACGTGTCTGCTCCGTTAGAACCAGCAGCTCCTCTTAGAGCTCTCTGCCAGCGCGCGTGCTCATGTCCAGGTGTGGGGCTGGGTTGAAACCAGACTGAGGATGTCTGAGGGGAAAACTGGTAAACACGCCTCCAGTTCAGTGGTGCTTTAGTTCACATCTTCTTCCCTGATCTTCCTGCCACTGTCTACTTTTCAGAGTCCTCAGATACCACCTCATGCATCCCATCCAAGTTTTACAGCAGTGTTAAATGGGAGAGATCAGGTGGCAAATGCTTAGTCCATCTTGTCCAGAACTGAAATCTTTCATGTTTTTTGCCTATTTTTCTACTGGGCTTCCTGTCTTTTCTTTATTGAACTTCAGTAGTTCATCATTTACTCTAGACTATAGTCCTTATCTGTTTATAACATTATAAATATCTTGTAGTTTCTCATCTCTCTGTTAACTTTGTCTTTGGTGTCCTTAGTTGAATGGAAATCCCTAATGTAATGATACCCATTAATTTTTCACCTTGTGTTTTCTTTTTGAGAATTTGCTTAAATCATTTTTCACCCCAAGGTCTAAGAGTCTCCATTTTTTTTTTTTTTAACATTTTAGAATTTAACCTTTCACATTTGGATCTTTTGTCCACATGGAGTTCACCTTTATGTATAGTATGTGGTATGAACCCAACTTTATTTTTCTGTAAGTAGTGGTTTCATATTTTGAATATCATCTGTCAAAATTTAATATTCACAACGATAGATCAAAGAATTTCAATTATACCAAGTTTCCATATATATGTGATGTCTCTAGACCCTGTCTTATTTTTCAGTGGCCAGTTGGTCTGTTCTTATACTAGTACCAAATCTTTTTCCTCTTATGGCTTTGTAGTATATCTTAATATCTAGCAGAATGAATCTCTAATCTTTGTTCTTCTTTTCAAAGTTTTCTTAGCTCTTTATGGCTCTTTAGTCTTCCATAAACATTTGTTAAAATGCTATAACTATAGTTGGAATTGCATTAAATGTAAAGACTAATTTGTGGAGAATTAAATCTTATTAAATCATTCCATCCATGAATTTGGTATATCTCTTTAATCATTGGGGTCTTTTATATCCTTTAAAATAATTTTTAAATATTCCTTTAAAAAATCTTGTACATTCTTTCTGGGGTTAATTCCTATTAGTATTTGTCAGTAAATACTATGAACTGGTAGAAAATAATGTTATAATTACTCTTGTGTCTGGAAGCCCAACTTTCTCAAAATTAGGATGGGTAGGGTGCCTAAGTTACATAGTATAAAACATGGCTACCTAATTTTGTCCCTTCAGTTTGGCCTGGCATTGGAAAGTTTCTTTAAAAGGTGACACGTGCAGGTGGACATGATAAAGTATGTCTCACACGGTCTTATCTCTTCCTTATAACATGTCAATACAAGTCAGTGACAGAGAATGATTCATTATGATAGACACAATTAAGGGATTAATTCTGATCATAGTGCTTTAATGAAATGGTGAGATTTTAACCCAGTCTGTAAGATTAAGACTTCATAAGGCACAACACTGGGATTTTAGACCAGGCAAAAAGCAAATCAGAGGCATAGAATTACATTTGGTCGTATGATTAATATCATTCCTTTTCATCTCCACTGTGCTCTCTCCAGGTATTCTATAACAGTTACTACTGGACTGTACTGTACTTCCTGGCAGTAGTTAGATTCAGAGCTAATTGCCTACGAAGGCACCGCCTGGATGGCATCTTATAGATCTTAACTTTTTAAATTCATGCCTAGGTGTTGGCTCTATTCTATAACATTACTTCAAATTCCTTAATTATTTCTGAAGCATATGTTTTATTTTTTCTACACATTGTCTCATCACTAAATTTCCTGGACCTTTAAAGAAAATTTTGAGTTGTACTTTCAAAATTTTTAGATGTATAAAAAGGGAAGAAATATAAAAGCTGATTTAAAGGAAAACAGTTTATATTTTGAGGGATGAATCTCAGGCTTATCTGAGAATTAGACTTTGCGTGTTAGACTTTGCTAAATAACTGTGATGTCTATACTTGATTTACTTAAATTTTTTTTTTTTTTTAAACAGATCATATCTGAAGATATTGGTGAACTACAAAAGAATCAAACTACAACCATGGCCAAAATTGCACAATACAAGAGGAAACTCATGGATCTTTCCCATAGAACCTTACAGGTAGTAATGTGGAATTTTTTCTTCAATGTTTACAAGATTATATGTGCACAGTATGTGCTAAATATAGATTTTCATAATAGGAAAGACAGACTAAAAGGAAATAATAATAATCTGAAACTAAAATTACCAAACTTTTCCAGTAACACCTATAAGTTGGAAGAGAGGTCTCTTGGGGTTAGGTGAGGAAAGTTAAAATATTTTAAGTCCGTATCTTAGAGAATGAAGGAAAACAGTGAAGAAATAAGGTTATCTTGGTGCGGGGAAAGCATGTATGAAATCACTGATATCTAGTTTTCATAAAATAGCAGAAAAACAGTTTTATTTTGAGTGCTAGAAAAGATAGTGTAACCATAATGGTTGAAAAACAAACAACAGAATTTCCAGATTAATGAGGAACTCAAAGAATGAATAACAACAAAAATAGAAATTGTAAACTATCATGAAAACAAATATTACATACCAGAATGAATGGGACACAGAAAAAGCTGTACTCAGAGGAGAATTTATAGCCATAAAAAAAAAAAAAAATCTTCATTTAAAAAAGGCTATAGTAACCAAAACAGCATGGTACTGATGTAAAGATAGACACATAGGCCAATGGAACACAATATAGAACCCAGAAGTAAAGCCATATAGTTACAACCAGCTGATTTTCGACATAGCAGACAAAAACATACACTGGGGAAAGGATGCCCTATTCAATAAATGGTTCTGGGAAAACTGGATAGCCACATGCAGAAGAATGAAACTGGATCTCTATGTCTTACTGTATACAAAAATTAACTCAAGATGGATTAAAGACTTAAATACAAGACCTGAAACTGTAAAAATTCTAGAAGAAAACATAGGAAAAATTCTCCTGGACATTGGCCGAGGCAAAGAATTTGTGACTGAGACCCCAAAAGCAAATATAG